CATGGATGAGATGGACTGCTCAATGACTGGGGTAATGGGGGTAGGTGTGTCAGAGACGATGAGATTGGCTCAGGATAGGACAGGGTTCAGAGCTATTGTACATAAGTTTGTTTTGAGTCACAGGTGACTCGACAGCACATAACAAAACAACTTACAAAAAAAGTCACAGCAACAGTGAAGACTTTTTTAATACATAAAATGAAATGTCAAATACCCTTTCTCTGCACTTCGCAGGTGTTGAAAAAATCTTTTTAATATAAAAATAATAATTGAATTCTTAATAAAACAAAGCCTGAGAGATGAAACATTTAAGTGCATGGCTGCTGGATGAAAACCTATTCACCAACTTTGCAGGCAATTTGCTCTGATGAAGATTCTAGCCTAGAAATCCTTAAAGGAAAATTCTATTCTGTCACATGGGCTTGCTATGTTGGATTGTATGACAGCATATAACAACAAAGTTCTAACATATAACAAAAGTTCTAAGTGTAGCTTGTTTGAAACGTTAAAAAATCAAATGAAAAAGACAATGGTAAAAACATGTATGTGGGTATGTGGGTAGTGATGGATGCTAATGAATTTAGAAAGGTGTGTGCTAAGTAAATTGCACACCTGGGGGTATCTGTAGGCACGTTTGTATGCATTCATATATGTCTACAAATACAACAAACTACAGAGTTTGTTACAGAAAAAGGACATAGTTATGGAAACTTTCTAGACACATTCAAACAACTTGTGGGATTGGTTACTGGGTTAAAGGCTTGAGACTACTGTTATCAGAGGACAATTTAGTCAACTGGTATAAGAGTTCACAGAGATAATGTTCTTAATTCTAATTTGGTGTTTAGAGCCTAGGATCTTAAAAGTGTGCAAGTAGTTATCTAAACACAATTATTGGTATCTACCCTTATGGAGCAAAAGAGAATGAGAGAATTCTAAGTTTCAAAAAAAAAGGAACTAGTCGTGGATTAGGACTTCTAGAGTTCTTCCAAGCTTTCTCTCATCAAGTGTATAGTCCTCGGTTTTGGTCCCAAGTGATACATAATATATACTGCATTGAAACAGATGAGAAAGAGAATTGCTTAAAAGGAATATATGATTAGGTATTATTTTCATGACAAGATTCCAGAAAAAGAAATGCATAGTAAAGTAGACTGTGGACTTGGGGCAGCAGGACTGTAATAAGAATGAAAGAATTTTTTTTTCCAAAGAAAAAAGTGAACTGGGGGAGAGGAGTAGGCAAGGAAGAAAATGTGCAACAATGAATGAATGGGAAAAACATAAAATGTGAAGAATATGCTGTAAAAATTAAAAAAAAGAAAGAGGAACTAGTCCATATAACTAACAGTCTACATGAGCCAGAGCATCTCCTGAGACCAGAATTAGATGTGCCTGCTAATGTTATTGACCATTCTGACCAGGGACCCAAGAGGGGGCATGGAAGAAAATATATAGAATAAGACTCAAAATTCCTGAAACAAGTTAGACAGACACACTTAACCAACAGATTAGGAAGAAACTCTTAGCCTATATACTAAGACAACTATTGAACATGGAATTGAAGGTATTTATGCAGGGCAGACAGAAGATGGGCTTATGGTGGTAAGGAATTGTGCTGGCATCACAAAGGTATGTG